AAAAAAAGCCGGCCGGCCGGGTCTATTTAAAAGTTTCATGTTATGAAAACCAAGTAATTAAATTTGTATGGCCTTATGCTTTATTGAAAAAAAATTTTCTATCTATTTTTTTTCTTTTTATTAAAGAAAGAAGGATTTAAATGGTCATGTAGATGGCAGAGGATAAATCAGTTATATCTTGGGCAGTTGGGTATAAGCGATATTTTACAATAAAGTATAATTGACATTTTGCAGTAAAGTATAATTGACGTAGATTGGCCGCGTAAGCGGCCGATCTACGTCAATTATACTTTACTGCAAAATGTCAATTATACTTTATTGTAAAATATCGCTTATACCCAACTGCCCAGGATATAACTATTACGAATTCTGATCCACAAAAACGACCTACTGCTTCGAATGTTATAATACCATATACAATTGGCTTAATAAGATAATTATTATGAAAATGAAATTAAAAAGCATTCTTAGAAGCAGATAAAGATATTAAAACATTGCGGATATCAAAGCAAATGTATACTAGCAAAATTATTAGTACAAAAAGAATTTCAGAGGCAATTAAAGGTATTTATCTCAATTAATATATTAATATATTAAAACTATATTATGTATTTAAAAATAATATTATTTTCCTATTTAGATTTGTCTCAAGTTGATTTAGCTCAAGTTAAGCTTAGTTAAGCTTAATATTGAAAGCTCCGGTAAGTATTCAATTAATAAGTCTATTTTATCTATTTTATTATTTGTAAATTGGATTAATTTAAAGTTTATCTTAAAGATTAAAAAAATTTAGGACTAATGAAGCTAATGAAGTTGATCGTTAAGTATATTTAAAGTATAAAATATTTAATTATTAAAACTTAAAAAGATGAAAAAAAATAATAAAATTAAGAGAATTGTCGATAAATAAAAAAAGATATATATGCAGAAAAATAAATTAAGCACGACATTTGGACGTGCCTAACCACTAGTGTAAACCTAAAAAACTGACTGTCATAAGATTTTTGTTTTGAATATTTTGACTTTTTTAAACCGATTCGGTAATTTAATAATAATAAGGCCGTTTGAAGTTATAATTTCGTTTAACGTTCCTTTTGAAGCTTAAGCGCAGTGGGGGGTCAAATTAAACAAACATTATATAACACCTCAAAAAAATCACTATTATTATTGGTTGGTTTGTAGTCACATGATTTATTGAAATCTCAAAGATGTAGCGGACGTTCTGATTAGCTTGTTTAATTTCAGGGGGCTATTGGAGGCAGTGGGGGGAGAACGTTAAACGAAGTTGTAACTTCAAACCGCCTAATAATAATAATAATAATAATAATTCGGTATCAATTGCAAGATCACAGAATTAGTAAGTTTACAGTAAGTAACTAAGATTCGGCATATATAAAATTAATTATAAACAAAGTCGGCTGAATAAGAATCAATTGTAATTTACAGCTGTTTCATTAATTTTGCAACGTCTGGTAAAAAATTGATCGAATGATTGTTTGGTAATGAGCGATTACGTAATGTATATCTTTCTAATGACAGAGATAATGTATATCGATATCACTATTTTTCAAACTCAATACGTTGCAATTATTTCAGATAAACTAGGCATTTTTAAAATGCTTAATATAGACGAACAGGTCTATATTTTAAATATTCATTATATAAATAAATGAAATACCTTTATTATGATTTTGTTTATAATTTTCAATGCAGTTTCGACAAATATTAATAAAAACTTGGTTGTTTGGAATTATATTTTCTTTAGTCCGGTCAATAAGTTCTTTTTCATGTCGATTTTTATTTTTTTTTTTAACGCCTCCTTGTGTAATATATTTATTATGAAAACTTATCTTATATTCAGAACCCTTTTTGAAATTTGTAAATCTGTTGCTTAGCAAGAACAACCTTCGTCATATATTTTCATATAGACTAAACATACCAAACATACTGGACATACATTCAAGCGAAAATTAATTTGGATGTGTTGACATTGTAGTGTCGTTCAGAATACAATCGCAATATATATATATATCTCATTATCGCTATATTACTAATCACATTTAAATCAAAAGTTTATCACTGCCAAAACAAAAACTTAGAATCGGCCAATAATAATTCGGTCAATATTTTACCCGATGTCCCAAAAATAATGAAAACAGCTGTAATATTTTTTTGACTGAATTGATTTGTCAGTATCAACAATGAAACATTTTGTTATTTCAAAAATAAATTCGTCAGTTATCATTAATTGCGCTTAAAAATCCGAGACTAATTATGTCATCTCTGAATTCCAAGCCCAATATTCTGATTGCAAATGTTCATATCGATAATATTAACGTCTAATAATACCAATAATCAATAATAAACCTCTATAGTGAACTCTGGTTTATTTTATGGTTAATTTGGAATAAAAATGCGGTTAATTTTTAAGAAAATATAGTAATTTTACGTATTGGTCTTTTTTTTTTACATCCATACAACAGATCGTCATTATACAGTATAGGGAGTTAACCGTTATATTTTCTAAGGTTAAAAAAACACAATAGAAATTTTTACATTGCATAACCGTAGAACACAATTAAAAATAATCAAAGTATTTGACTTTCTTTAATCGCTTTAATATGCAGAAATACTGATATAACTTAAAGGAAAGAATTTTTATTTTGCTTTAACATTCAGAATAACATTAATTGGTTCGTAGCTGCTATGATAACTGTGATGTGCTTTTTTTACCTTTTGTCAATTTTTATTTCATTATAATAATCTTTGATTAGAAGGTGAAAAGTATTAGCAAATGTACTTTACATACGTAATTGTTTGAATTTTAGACAATAAAACTATATTTGGTATCTGTTCGCATGCATATAATAGTTATGTTTTTGATACATCACATTTTTTTGATTTGTGTTGCATCAAAAATGAAATTAATGCGCTTCGGACACAATGCTGCGCATTAACCTAGTTTGATTCGGGATTTAAAAATTCCCATGAGATTCCGAAATCAGAAAATGAAATAGTTGTATTATCATCATATAAAAACAAATACATTAGGGGGTTTCAGACTTAAGGTTCAGGCTTTTGATTTCGAATTAAATTAGCGACGCATTAATTTTGTAATCAGCGATCAATAAATCTAATTTATTTTTATTTGTAAGCCTATTTATATAATAAGATATAATACAATCATTAATAAATTTTGGTTATTTTATCTCTGGACAACTCCTTTTTCATTTTCTGATTTCGAAATTTCAAACCGAAAATAGGACTTTTCAAACTCCCACTTATTTTCAAAATAAGTTAACTCTGAAACCCCCTATTACTAATAATTTAATTCGAAATCAGAAACCTGAACATTAATTCTGAATCACCCTATTACTGTATTAATCGAATTCTATTTTTTTTATGCATAATTCAACTCAATATTATCTATTTTTCGAACCAATTTTAATAAATAATACAGTAATAGGGATTTCGGAATTAATTTGGCACAGATCCTATTGTAAATATTTGTTTACATAAACGCTTACTGGGAGGAATTTATCAAAAGTAGATAATTTTATCACTGGCTACGCCTTCTTATTCGGAATTATTAAAACAGAAAAATGAGTTTTTAACTATAATTAAATATTTTAAATATTTTTAAAACCGAAATCTATAATAATTAATAAATTCAATTGGCTTATTATTATTATTATTCACTCATTTGTTTATTGAGCTATCTTTTTGCCAAACATCACAATATTTATATTATATCCTAGCAATAGAACGGTCAAATATACAGCCATTGTTACGCCCAGGATGAGATGAGCGATGTTAATTAATGATAAGTTAGCTTGGGCGTAGCATAAGTTACACAGAATGGATGTTTATTATAGATTTAGATTTAATCATGACAAACAAAAACTTGAAATACCAGAATCCTGGAATAGTACGAAATCTCGACAAGTTCCAAATCCTGATAATAAAGTTTTTAAAAAAATCAAAATATTATTGTATCGCCACGGTGCCTGAATTTCTATGTCTAACAAGTGTGTTAAAATAGGGTAGATAGTGAGAAGATAGATCTGATGCGTTTTTAATATAGATTAGAAGTTTTTAAATTTTGTTTTCATAGTTTAGCATTGATTGGTCAATATGTAATTCTGGTGATCTAAATTTACTTTCATACTTAAGTACGTACGTACGTACTTTGCAAAATGGTGTGACCCATGATTATTGTGATGGTTGAGGGAAATTTTGGAGATTCTAGATTATCTATCCCTATTGATCAGTTATATATTATGGCGGTTTGCAAAAAGGTGTGACCCATTGATTTTCATGATGATGATGGCGGAGAATCTTTGTGATTCTAAATAGGGAATCTAAATTTAAGAATCATTAAGAATCATTAAGAATCTATATAAAAAATTATATAATTATTTGATCAGTGATCAACAATGATCAATATAAAAAGCTATATTACGTATTTATTATATATAAATTATTATTCACGTACGCATATTTCTCTTGAAAAATGGCCGATTTTCAAGAAACAAAATTAAAATATCGTCGAGGAACTTGTTTTAGTTGCCGAAAATGCATGTATTGTGGAATTGATTTGCGACAAGAAAAATGTAATTGTAACTTGTCTAATGTGCCACATAAAAGTAATCGGACAGATGCCGTCAAATATGCGTTTACACGAGTATTCAATCCAAATTGGATAAAAGAAAAAGTAGAATTTGTTCAACAAAGAATAGAACATTATAATTATTTATTAAGTGCAAAAGAGGCTTTTAATTTTACTTTGTGCGCTCGATGCAATAGTATTTTATTAAGATTATCTTCGAAAGTGAAAAAGCTTAAAGCATCATCAAGTTCTACACTTGATAACGATATCGATAACTCTTCTGAATTAGAAACATGTGATCTTACTATAGCAAGTGGAGCTTCCGAATCTGAAGAAAAACTTGATTGGAATCCTAATGAAAAAGAGTATCATGAAGAGAAATATGAACCTAATGATGATGAGTCTTTATCTGGTGAAGAAGTTGAATACGAATATAATTATGGAGTTTTTATCAAGTTTGAAAATGGAACATCTCTTCCGGCAAAATGGTATACAGCTAAAGTATCTATGGTTGATGAGCTACTTTCAGAAATTCATATAAATATTGAAACTTTAATGGGAAAAAAACCAGTTGATCCAAATGATTATCATATTGCATTCAAATCTGAAAAGGCAGCAGGAGCGGGTACTCAACTAGTTGATACTCAAGACTTTAAAAAATTTCAGGCTAATTACCAAAAATATAAATCTAAAAATATCAATATGGCCTTTTTTATAACATTTATTAGGTCAAATATAAAGCGCAAAATAGATGTAAGTACAGTATAGTAAAATATAATATTTTATATTATACATATTTATTATATATAATAATATAAATAATTTTAAATACTCATTTAGGATCGTGAGCCTAATAATAATTCAGACGATGATATTGTTACAGATTTGAGAAACAAAAATTCTATTCCTAAAACTTCAAATCTATCTTCACTCGAAACATCAATTGCAAAAAATGTCTTAGAAATTCATAAAGAAAATCATTGCACAATTCATAATCGACCATGTTTAAATAAAGATGGAGCTAAAGAAAATCATGTTGAAATTACTTTTATGATGCTTTCAATTTGGGCATCTGAAATTGTAAGTATATAAACAACTTTTACAATGTATAATTTATTTTATATTATAATTATTTTTAAATATTTATAGAATAAAGCAATAGCATCACCAACAGAACCACCTACACATCCTTTGTTTGCATATAAATATTTAACAAAAACAAAAGTGTCATCACAATTGCAATCTAGTTCTATACAATTTAATCAATCTAATTCGATGCAACAACCCAATCTAATACAACAATCCGATTTGATGCAACAGTCTAATTCAATACAACAACTCAATCCAATACAACAATCTGATTGATGCAATAATCTAATTCAATACAACAACCCAATCTAATGCAACAATTCAATTTGATGCAACAACCTAATTTGTTACAACAATCTAATATAATGCAACAAGCTAATCTAATGCAACAAGCTAACTTAATGCAACAACCTAATTTTATTCAACCTTCACTCTTTTCGGGTCAACATTATATGCCATCTTTATTTTATAATCCATTTTCAACATATATTCCTTTACAAACCTTTTCAAATGCCAATTCAATTACCTTTACAACAAACATTACCTACAATCAAAAATTTTTTAAGAAATATAGATGAAAATGAAGATACTGAAGATTATTATCAGAAATTTTTATTAAAATTTGAACAACAAAAATTTTCTGTACGACTACTTTCTGAATTATCAAATGAAGACTTTGAAAAATGTAGAGTAGATACTATTGGTGCACGCCAAACTCTTCGTAAATATGCTGCAAAGTATAATGCATTATCATATAGCAAATTGTAAGTTAAATGAATATTTATTTATAACCCGCTGTATTAAAGAAATTATTAGAGTATGAGGGGTAATTTGAGAGCATGCAACTAATAATAGATATATAGAATCTAAACAGCTTTCTACAAAATACTGATGTTGTCTTAAATAATTTTTTATACATGAAAAAGCTAATTCTATTGGGTTGAGATCAGGCGAATAAGGAGGAAGAAACTCTATATGTACTCCAAATGCATTTAAATATTCAAGCAATCCATCATTATGATGGATTCTTGCATTATCAAGTACTAAAACACTTTGTTCATGTGGAAATGAATTCATTTGAGGCAGCTAAAAATAATTAAAAAAATTGGTTAAAAATATATATATATATATACTGTATACAAATATTATAATATATTATATATATATATTTCAATATGTACTACTTGAGAAATTACAAATTCTTTAAATCGCTCTTTTGTGCAACTACCCTCTATAATATCAACAGCAATTATACCATCTAAGGTTAATGCAGGCAAAAGTGTGTAACGCTTACCATGTAGAAACACTACTTTTTTGATAGCCCTTGTATTAATTTCAGAATAACCATATCCTCGAGAAATAGTTCGTTCATCTTTAGATGATTCATCCAGAAAAATTAATTGGTTACTTTTTATATTGAGAACCAATACGGGCCATAAAGGCACTGCGAAGTAATTCATTGCGTTCTTTTGCTGCTTTATACAACTGAAATAAAAATTAAATAAAAATTATATTTTATTTATATTAATTTATATAATTATATAAAATAAATACTTTTTTTCGTGTTATTCCACAATAAGCTAATGAACGCCAAATAGTAGAAATTGAGACATTTTTGCCACATCGAATTTCCATTTGTTCAACAATTTCGTCAAGATACATATCCGGATTTTCTTGGACAATATTTCGTAATATCTATTATATAATATATAGTATAAATTAATTAATACTATATATATAACAAATATTTTACACCTACATTCATATCATTTCGATTAAAAGTTTTATGCTGTCCAGGTACTTGTTTCCATGGATTTGCTACAGTTCCCCATTTTTTATATAACCGTAACACTTTCTTTACCAAACCTTTACTAATATAAAGAAGATTTGTAATTTGCGATATTGAATAATTATCATAATATAAAAAAATTATACGCCATTTCAAGTCATCACTATACGCAGGAGGCATGTTAACGAAGATTTTTTTGAATTAAAATATAAATATAATGATTATATAAGTGATACAGAAGGAAAGCCTGAAAGCGAATATTTGTTTCATTGTATACTATGTAATTTATTATTTTCAATTAAATTTTCATTGTACATTACGTAATTTATTATGTTTTGATAAATTATCTAATATAGCTAACATATGTTTATTGTATTATTGAAATTACGATCATATCAATACCACTACATATTGTACGTTCATAATATATCAAAAATCTTTAGGATTCTCTAAGAATCGAAAAATCAACTAGAATCGGCTGATTTCTCGTGATTTCACATGACATAATGATCTGCAGAGGTCACCCCTTTTTGCAAACCGCCATAACTAATTTATTTTTTACATTTTAGCATGTGCAAGAATCGAATCATTATCAAATGAAAACAAAAAACTAGAAAATAAAAAAGCGAAATTTGTCAAATCCAATCGAATGAAATCAATCGTTTATTGAATGAAAATATTTTATTGAATCAGATTTGTCAAATTCAATCAGTCTGGAATCATTTTGAAATTTGCCAAATCCAAATGATATTTTTTAATACAAATACATCGTTTTATAATGATTATTAATAATAATAATTGAGATGTGAACCATAACTATTTAAATATTTGAATGGCTGTTAATAATGTTATCGTAAATTAAATTTAAATCTAAACGTAAAGATACTCGACAAAGGAAAAAAACCATAATTAATTATGCACGATTCATAAGGATAATTAGGTTTAATAGAATAGGTAATTCGATGGATATGATTCAGCTATCAAAGAAAGATTTGAAATTTTATAGACAAAGATTGATAATGATCATTAAGAATATATGTGAGAATTGTGGTATATTAAAAGAAATACATTATGTAGAATTTGATATTCCTATTATAGAGCTTTTGAGAAACAAGGTAAACGAAGATACGATGATACTTTTTTTGAACGTGAATAATCTACCTAAAGGAAATGACGTTTATTTGTTTGATGAATCAAAACCTGTACGAACACTGGGTGTGAATACTAGGTATACTTCTTTAGGATTAAAGATCAATTATGCTAATGTGCGCAATTTACTGATTACATGTCTACGTATTGATATTGAAGAGTTAAAAAAATATGTAAATTTAAGACAAGTTTGGGTTTCGATGTGTAGGTATGTCGAACGTTTATTTGAACTTCCGGTTAAGGTGATAAGAATACATAATTACACTTATAGAGCAAGTATTCTGTTAGAATTTATTCCTAGATTATGTAATCGAAAAATTGTTGTAATAACAAATACTTTTAGGAGGTTTAAATATTCGTACCAAACAGATAAATTAGATGATGTCAAAAAATGTATAGATAAATTATCTAATATGCCTTTGAATTCATTTTTTATAGATATGAGTTTCAGATTTGTATATGTTAATAAGAACGGAATTGTTATGTATAATTTATATAATCAATATTTTGATCGAGATACTGTTTAATAAAATATGGTTGAATTATATTATCCGATCGGATATTTTAAAAGTTGGCATGAATTGAATATACCTATTACCTGAAGAATGGGAAACGACCGAAATCTATTAAAAGAAGGGAAATGGAGAAAGAATATTTAAATGAGTTAATGATAAGAATGATAAAAGAAGAGCTTGATAATACATGGGTACCATTAACAAAACGGACACTTCATTATATTATAGAAATGTATTATGATGTATTTCGTCCAAATTATCTTTAATACATATAAAGTTTTATATAATATAATGCCTACTGCCACTATTTTCAAATTTAATTAAATTATTCACTTTATTACTTCTTAAAATTATTAAATTTAAGAAGTGTACGACGAACCGGCGAATTTGAAAAAGAAAAAAAAAAGACAAATCAAGTTAATATGAGCCGGCAACCTTAAAAGTTCTCTATTCTCCAACTATTTAATCTATTAACATCAATGCACCCATGCTTATTATTTAAGAGAGAAAATTATTCATATATCATATATCAACAGCAAATTTGAAATATATTAACGTATTCAAAATATTCACTATATCATTAGTTTAAGTACATTGTAAACCAAAATTTAAAATGTTAAAAAAGTAATACTTAAATTAATGGCATTATAAATCATAATTTAATGATAATTAATATCATTTCTTAAGTTATAGACCTATTAGATTTGATTCTTTATACTACAGTACAATAGAATATTACGATTCATTTTTTGTGCAGATAAAATGGATTCAAGTCAGATACAAAAGCATGTATTTTACATATATTTTATATAAATATGTTATGTTATGTTGAATAGATATAGTTTATACATTGTTAAATTTATGCACTGTTAACCTGACGCATCTTTTCTCAAACAGCCCATAAAATATCATATAGATTATATGTATCCATTCTTGAATATTCTCAAATTTTTGTAAATAAACCATGAAATCACAAAAATCTTCTTTCGTTAAGGTGATTTCTGTCTCTCGATTAAGATCATACTTATCTAAGATACCTGCATGACGCGATTAAAAAAACTCGTTGCATAAAATCAAGTGAACAAACATTAAAATAAAAAATAAAAATTTTAATACCTCTTGACCATTTCATGTCACCTGTCACAACCCGTCCCTAACAACACAACATTGAGTCAGCCAGTCTCAAGCAAAAGACGATGCCACATGCAGGGACAGCTACTTACAGCTCTTCAGCCAATCTATCTAGTACTTCATACTGCTCTTCTTGCTCCACATAGAACAATTCATGATACTGGGCATAGGTGTATCGGTGGCCAATCAAACTGAATGCGGCGATAACTGTGCCTGTCCTGCCGTGCCCATATCCGCAGTACACAAGGGTCGTCAGAGCTTGCTTGTATGACGCATATGCCTCGCGTAACTGATCAATTGTTGGAGCAGTGAAGTCATCAACCGGTAGATGGAGGTAGTCAATGTTATGTTCCCGCAATTTCTCGATTTCTTCTTTATTTAGGATGAACTCGTTCAGGCTGATGACATTTTTGATGTCATTTTTAACGAGAAACTTAATAGCATCATCATCCATTTTCTGGCTCTTATCACCTTCTTCTTCGTTGTAGTGAGGCGCAGAGCTGCGCGCAAGCTTGCCGCGTATCTCCCATTTGAATCGTTTAAATATTTGGTCATCCAAGGCATGACCTCTAAAATAGGAACAAAATATATATTTTCCACCAGCACCCTCATTTAAATCCTGATTTATTTTTGTCCACGAAATACCTTTCTTATCAATACTATCATTACTTTCATTGACCACAAAATCGATTTCTATGATAGGATCCGTCTCTTCTCCCTTATTCCAAACTATATAAATGAATTTACCACCCGCATCTACGTTCAAGTCTTGGGGATTCCAGAATTGCCAGCCGTCTGGTTTTTGTGTTTGTTGACTTGAGAAAGCGAGAAATGATAAGGAAGTTACCGCGTCATCATGATTTCCAGAAATTCTCTCACTCTTACATCCAGCATATACGTATTTACCGCCGGATCCTTCATTAAGATCTTGCAGGTGCATTTCGTATTCATTTATTTGAGGAGGACAACCAGCATCATTAGAGATGTAAATTGTGAAATCAGTAATCCATGTTGCCATTTTGTCAACTATTGATATGATAAATATTTATTCAGTTAATGCATGGTATTTCAGAAAAAAGAATTAATATATTGTACGTGAGTTTTGACAAATAATAATATGGAAAAGTGAACTCAATAAATTTCAGAACAGTATATATAAGAATTTTACTGAATACGGAGTAAGGGTCCGTAAAGAAACTTCTGCAATGCATGCAATGTGATACTAGTGTATTACTTTATAGAGAACAGAATGAATTGATTATGCATATTATACATGACACAAAACCAAATATTATAGAGAATACAACGAAATTTATCTTGTGACCTGCCGAAAATGGGACTTGGAATGAAATGGTATGCACTGTGTTTTTATTCACGTTATACAGTGAAATATTTTTATAAAATTCAAAACCAGATTGAGAGCAAAACTTTATTAATAAATTTTCATATATTATTAGGGTTTGGAATAGCATCAGACGTTATTTTTTTACCCACTTGATAATCCTCAAATATACAGTATACAGTATATAAATTTGATAACACCTCGTTTAAAAGCGATTGTTCCAGGAAATTTTTCTTTACAATAAAATTCACAGTCTCACACAAAGGCTTTTCGCAAGTAGACTGATGCATTCTATCCACACCAAATCAGTCTATGTATGAGAAATTTTAATTTAACTCAGAAGTTTGTGATTTCCCTTTTGAACGCCTAATGGTAATTATCGTTATCGTTATGCAATGTCATAATATATAATTCAAGAGTCGGGACATATAGTAAAAATTTTTTTACACTTTTACTGCTATTCTTTTATCTGGAAATATGATATCAAGAAAAATTGCATTTCGCAATTCGCACGTATTATAGGCGCAGTAGATTATAAAATAAAACATGCATTCATAAATTTTGAAGATCAATCACAGTGCTTTTCTTGATGAGAACAATATGGATGGTATAATACCTCTGCAGTATACTGTTCATGAGAACAATTATGTAATCTTTGTATAACCGAACCTTATGAAATTATGTACTGTACTGTATGTATCATTCGGATATACAATTTTTTAGTGATAAAAATTATCTATTGAGTCTGGAATATTGCGTAATCAGCGACCTTATCTCGCTTGTCCTGCGCTGATGAGCGACGCAGGTCAAAAAGTTCTCATGTTACAAAAAGTGATCCAGACGTATTATAACGAGAAAATAGAATTTAAAAAAATAGATCGCAGATTTACTATTATTAATAAATAAATATTTTTATCTCACAATCACAATTCAATAGATTACAAATAATTACAAAGTTATTTAAAACAAGTTATAAAACCTGTTTATAATAAAACACGTAAGTACACGTAATGCTCATATAAACCTAACTTTTATTAGATATCCATTAAATTAAAAAATTCAAGGCATTATCACTCTGCGAGAAATTTCCCACATGAGATAAAATCAAGAAAAAACCAGATTTTTTTGTTTCTAAAATGTCCCTCATCTTTGTGTCGATTTTAGTTTTATAATCTTAGTTTATAATTTTAGTTTCTAATAATTTGATAATTTTGGTTTTAGTAATATAAATAATAAATTTCTTTTAATTGAATTTTAAATAATCAAATTAATTGATCCATAATTTGATTTCTTTTTATACTCCTTCTCTTTTTAAATTACTTTCATTTAAAGTGTTTAAATTATTTTCATTATCACTTTCACTATCATCATCACTATTACTATCATTTTCATTCCAATTATTATTATTTGTTTCTAAAAAATTATGTAAAATTATACAACATTCAGTTATATTAACTACAGTAGATATCCCCATGCGCCTCACATCTAGATAATCTGGAAGTGATCAGAACCTTGGGATCTCTCAAAATGGACATATGGAGTGCTGTCAACTAAAAGGGCCCATTTTTACATTTTTTAAAAAAATGAGTTTTTATTAAATTCATATATATTTTGACATGATTGACATTTTTCAATTATAAATGAAAGTCGATTTGCATAATGAAAAATAGAGATA